GCGTTTTTGCACCAGACTTGAAATAATTAGGTTAGCTGCATGAGTGGTTGTTTCTTTACACCTACCTTGTGTTCTCAATACCGTAACTCACTGTAAATTTTGCATAAAAAAATAAACAATATCAGTTTAGCGGTCGTTTTTTGAAAATGACCCAGCCGTTCAATAAGTAATTTCTCGTCAAAAATTTACATGCCCGTGCACGAGAACCATGCAGGCCTAGGGGCAGAATCCGATAACTTTAAGTGGCAAGTGGATTGGGGACATCCCCTGAAAATTTCAGCTTCCCATCTTTACTAATTCCAGAGTCAGCCATTTTCCCGCCGAAAAATCTCATGGGGCCGTACGTGAGAACCGCGCACGTCTGGGGAATCTGAAGTCTTACATGGGCTAGGAACATCCCCTGAAAATTTTAGCTTCCCAGCTTTGCTAGTTCCCGAGTTAGCCACTTTTCCTCCGAAAAATCACGGGGCCGTACGCGGGAACCACGCTTATCTGGAGGCTGAATTTGAAATCTTTGAGTTACATTTGGACAGGGAACATAGCCTCAAAATTTCAGCTTCCTATCTTTTCGCGTTCCCGAGTTATCAATTTTGCCGCCAAAACTTTGCCCCTCTCGTACGCGGGGCCCAGACGTGCGTGAGGGACGGTACCGCGGTTCTGGGGTGGTACTTGGCCGGGGTACCCATTAACAAAATCCCGGCGCTGGAACTAGCTTGGTTGCCGAGTTGAAATACCCGGACAGACGAACACACACATACACAAACATACACACACACATATACACATACATACACACACACACACAGAGACGGGGCCGTCTCAATATGCGTTTTTTCAATTTGCATATAGGCAAAAACGCATAAAAACAAATAGAAAAGATCTTAAAGAAGAATCGTAGTTGAAAAACGAAATAAAGCGAGGATTTTATTAGTTGAAATCTGAATACAAGGATATACTTTAGCTCTTCCAGTGGCTTACTCAAGCCAAAATCGGACAATTTTAATGAACCGCTTACACCAATCAAACAATTTCGTGCAGCAACATCCCTGGAAATGTTAATATTGATAAGCAGATGATAAATAACTCTGGACGGCTAGTTTGTCACTAACGCGACCTCACTTCTCAGCGATAGTTTGTGTCGAGAATTCTCGACAGCTTTCCAAAAAGAATTTTTTCAATGGTCAAACATTAATTGCACTTTTTTATTTCTGTCTTGGCCCAAGGAGGCTTAGGACTGTTGCTAAACCGAAATGTTGAAGTGCAGCCGGGCTCCTGGAAGAAGAGGCTAGGATGGAGTGCTGGAAAAGAGCGGTTCTGACAATTATGGTATCTAGTGTTTTGGTATCTAGTATTTTCGAGAAAATTGAATATTCACTAAGCGATGACTGTAATTCACGTTTAATTTGTTGAACTGAAAGTGTTTTGTTTTATTTTTTAATAAATACTGCGCCCTTTGACAATAGTTTGAGAAAAAAAATAATCCAGGTTTCTTAAGTTATTTTCTGACTA